CATTTTTTCGTAACTCCACGCAAGTATTATTCTGCTTCATAAAGATTGAAAAATATTTACGTAATCTCATATATTTTTGGATTCTTTGACAAATATCGTGCATCGAATTAAATTTTAATTAATCGCAAAATTATACTTGCGCGCAGACCAACAATAGCGCATTTGATTGATCTGTATGCTTCATCTGCTATATCCGCGCGATTTCTATCGGTATATCATAAAATAGCAATTGATTGTCCGTCGTCGCGGAATTGTATACCAGTCGGCGTTAATTTTCCTTAATTAATGAAATAGATTAAAACACGAGAAAGCGCTTTCGAGCGCTGCCGGACGCGGTCACCGGTTAGTTGACAGCGCGAAAAGGTATAATGTCGTCTGCATATCCGATGCAGATCCATTTATAACGTCTATCGCATCACCCAAATTTATGCACAAAATGTGCAGATATATTTACTATAACAATTTTATAAAATACTTATTGATGTATATCATTGAAATTAAAAACATCTCTCTAATTTCATCTATGGTCACCTATTTATCTAATTTATGGAAGAGGCATTTTACTCGTATATGTTTTTGTTGCATTAGAATTACTTTTATAAATTTTAACATTGATTTCATGTATTTAATATTTTCTTTGCCTGCACAAGAAGATTTTATTATAAAATTTAAAGGACTTGAAACAAAGTTTGAATATTAAAATTTGTAAAATGCTATACGAAGATGCTATGAGAAGAAATTAATCAGATTTAGAGGGATATTTTTTCTTATAAAAATATAAATATCATGAAAAATTATAATAGAATTGAAGGAGAGATATATAAATACGATATGTTCGTATTTATATTTTATACAATAATTATGAGGATATAAATACAATATAAATATCTACATAGATACGACAGATTAAATTAGTTGCAATTTTAATTTTCTTCTTTAAACTTTTCTAATAATATACAGACTGTGCTATTTTAATTTAGACACCGTAATATCTCAAAAACAATGCATTTTCGAAACAAAAATTCCAGATAAGAATTGTAGAGTTTGAAGAAGGAAAAAAGACAGTATATTAGTTTGATCTTGGGTGTAAGTTAAAAGTCATGTAAAAGTCAATCTAGTTTTTTTAAATGGAATTATTCTAATTTTTCTATGCAAATTGATCCTGCGTAAAATTTCGCGTAAAAAAATTATAAGGATAGCCAAAATATATATCTAATTTACAAGATATTTTATACTTTACATAGTTGACATAATTCTACATAAATTTTAAAAATATTTATTTTTCAATTATCTCAATATTTTTATGTACAAAATAATGAAACTAATCAACTGGTGTAAACAAAACTTATGTGTTGCTCGTTGCAAATTTGTATTTTTTTTTTAAAAAAACTTATTGATCTTTACATGGCCTAGTATCTATAGTCAAAGTTAAATTAATATTCCTATCTTTTTCCCCTTCCAAATCCTATAAATTCTGAACATTTTTTTTTGAAAATGTATTATTTCCGAGATATATTACGGTGTTTAAGTTAAAATTAAAACGGGACAGCGCCTGTATATTCCCTTCATATCAAAATGTAAATTACAATAAAATAGGACATTACATTAATTATAAGGCAAATAAAAAAAGGAAGAGAGATACATAAAGTGTACATGTACATACAGTATGTTCTATATAGATCAGATATATGATAGCCTGTATTTTTTATTGTATTCCTTATTTATTAAAAAATTATTTCCTTATTTATTAAAAAAAATATATATCTTTCTTCTTCGACAAATTTCCGGAAATGTATCGTTTTCGAGATATCTCATTTTTTAATATGTCAATACAGTGTGCATTTACTACTTCTTAATTCTTTATATAAATTATTTAACGCGATTTTGTTATAATTAAGGCAAATCTAATATTTACATTATATAACCAAATCTAATATTTACATTATATAAACATTAATGTGTCCTTTTGTTTACATCAAAATTGACAAATATACTTTGTTGTTAAGGGAATTTATTTCATGTCAAAATTTCTCTCTCTCTCTCTCTCTCTCTCTCTCTCTCTCTCCTCCCCCTCCCCTTCCCCTCTCTCTCTCTCTCTCTCTCTCTCAAGAATATTTTATTATAAAAATATAATTATTATATATATAAAAAATTAATAATATAATAATGTAATAATAATATAATAAAATATTATATATAAATGTAATTATAACCGAATTATAAAATTCTTGAATTCTACGAATCTAAAATTTCATCTACATCAAGTATCAAGAAGTAACAAATACAAAATATTAGCATATTAAAACATTGAATTTCGCGAAAATAATGTATGTGTTTCAGAAAAATTTTATCGAAAAAAATAAGATACATATCTTTTTATGAAAAATATCAGTTTGTACTATATTTAAATAGAACACCTTATACGTATATCTCGGATTGATTATATAGAAGGAGAAACCTCGCTGTGAGTGACGTCAAAATTTTTAAATAGATTCTTATCGAGTTTCGTTAATGTGCGTAATGATCAAATTTTTATGAGTGTGACATTTTAGACACAAACGAAATTGTTCATAAATTCTTGTTCTATTAATCAATACAGGTTTTGAACGAGAGACAATTAAGCAAGAAAAACTGAACAAAAATATATCAATGCGAAAGAGAGAGAGAGAGAACTTTTTAGTATAAAGATTTATACTTTTTAATATACATAATTTAAAATAGTATAAAATTAATACAAAAATATTATTTAAATACGAAAATACTTTTCTTGAGATTTTCTATATAATATATATAATTATATTATAGTTGATATATAGTTTATATTATATATTATTATACAGAAGCACACACACACGCGCGCGCGCGCGCGCACCAACATATGTATATTCATTACACACATATATATATTTCGCATATATATATATATATATTTCGCATATATATATATATATTTCGCATATATATATATATATATATATATATATATATATATATATATATATATATACACACACACACTTATAATAATTGTGTGTGTATTTTATAAGTGGCTCATATGTTTTTATAAGTGAAAGTACACATGAAAAAAAGATTTAAGTTATTGATCGCATTGTCTGTATCCAAATCTACTAATAAATATACTCGAAATTGTGAGTTAGATTTGTACCATTATAGCTCATATATTAGCTCATATATATAATGCATTTCGAAATTTAGCCATTATTTTATAATATTAACAAATAACATATTCATAGTAATTCACATAAAAAGATTTAACTTTTAGCACTGATAGATCCAATTTGTATATAATTACATACATAGTTACAAATTTGGATGAAATGTAAAGAAAAACTTTCTATATAAACGTACAAATTTTATAGGAATGTTTTATCCAATAATCAAAGAGTATATTGTAGTTAAGACTTTTTTAATTAATTATTAAATAAATTAAAATTAGTAAATAAATACTTGTCTAAGAATATTTAGAAAAGGCACAATAATATGTAATAAGAGTAAATATGACTGGTAGTCGATTTAACAAAACATCATCTAGAAATTGTCCACAAATTAATAAACGGTATGAAAAATTAAAATTAATAATAGAATTTTGAAATTCATATATTAAATTTTTTAACATGAATTTTTTGATATAAATAATGATTGGATAAATATTGTTAGGAAGTAATTATTTCTTAAAACACTTTTTAAATCTACTAATAACTAACAAATCCAATTAATGTAAGTTGTGGGTCAATTATTGAATCAACAAAAAAATTTCAATTAAAAAATGATGAATTCTAAACTCCAAACACTCAAGTACTGATTAATTCAAATAATTATAGTGTGTGTGTGTGTGTATATATATACAGCCAAATTTTAATTGCATAATTCATCATTCTTAATCTCAATTCATTATTCCTTCTATATAATAAATAAAAAAAATCAATTCCATCTATATTAATATATAGTATTAATAAAATATAGATATTACTTGACAAACTATTTCTGGAATATAAAATTAACTTAGTTTTAAAATGTGTATATGTATACCATTAACAATTTGAATATTTATTCATACGATATGATATAGATGGAATTGATTTTTTTGAAGCACATTAATTTATTGATATTTATGTATCTTTTGAGATGACAATGATTTTAAAGTTGTGGATACAATATGAATTCCTCGACAGTTGAATACAAAATATGCTTCATAGTAGATTGTTTCAAACTTGCTATTTAAGAATTTGTTAATGTTATATATTATTGATATGATGTAAAAATTAATTTTTGAAAATTTTATTTCATTTTTATGATTACTGCTTTTAAATGTTTTGAATCTTTTTTTAAAGAAAATAACTTTTAATTGTCAATATAATCTCTTAGTCTTTTGATAAGACTGAATAAGTATAGGCATACAAAATTTCCTATAACCATGTCTTGTTGAAATTCTTCCAAACATAAGTAATGTAATTATAAATTAGATGAATACTTTTACTTACTTAAAATAGATATAGTTTTAAATGTAAATTTTTGTTATAATTATGTGCAAAATTTAAATAAAGTTAAATATTAAAGAATTATTAAAATAAAATCTATTCTTTACAAAATATACATTTATTTTAGTTTATATTATTTTCGACTTAAATAAAATATTATAAATAAAATATTTTAGAATTTGAGTAAAATATTTTACTATAGTCTTTCTTAAGAGAAATTCTATAATAATATAAATAATGTATTTCAAATTTTGTAAACATTTTGGTTCTGAGAGATGAAAACGATGATACGAAAGAGTAAAAGGAAGAAAAATCTTTAAATTATAACTGATATCTTGAAGTATATACATATACTTTACGAACATTTTAGAACAATTGTTCCAGAAATATAATTATCTAAGAGACAAAATCTGACACATATAATCAGACTTCTCAAACAATTAGATATTCTATTTTCTTAAGTACTGTTTTTTAGTAAATATATCCATACTTTTATGTAAAGAAATTAATAAAGTTTATTTCATGTATAATTGTGATCAAATTTTACGACAAAACGTTTCTTCCATTAATAATTTACTTAATTTCATACAAAATTTACAAGAAGAATTTTCTTCTGCTTGTTTCCATATCGTGTCTACGACCCTGTATAATCCATTCATAATCCCCATATTTACTGTCAAACGTTCCATGTTGCAATGATCTTAACTTCAAAGTAAATCGTGGACCCAATTCTCGTAATCTTGGTTTTCCTGTCTTAAGATTAAATTCGTACCTGTAAATATTGATTCACATTAAATTATATAACACAGTTTACAATGATATCAATCTTCATCAAAATTCTTTTAAATCTTATGACATAAAAATTATTGCAATTAATAGTAAAATATAAAGCTTATATATGTAAATATATATATAATTACACATATGCCTACAATATTATTCAAGAGAATTATTTTATATAAATGCTTAAACTTTAATAAAATTTTATAAGATTATGTATATAAACTTGACTCAATATTGTAATGAAATTTATAATATCCATCAAGGATTAAAAATAGCTGTTATAAAATTCACCTATGATGTCTGAAAAATATATAATCTCTTTGATTATGAAATGTCACAGCTCTTCTTCCTTTAAATTCTGGTTGATAATGAAATAATGCTCCCAGCATTCTAGCAATAGTAAATCCTAAACGTGTAGAAAAGTTATTTAGAATAACTTCTGGCCTATGTTCTGTGATTTCCTTGTGATTACGCTTCAATTCTGTTGTTATTTTGACATTACTGAGCTTAAAGTGCGCAGTAGGACCATCTGGCAGGTGAATGATTAACATTCCATCTAACAAATGTTAAGGAAAATTTTTTTAAGATTAAAACTTAAATTACACTTGTTATTTTACATTTTATGTAATATATATATATATATATATATATATATATATATATATATATACAGGGTGTCCTAAAAATCTCGGACCGGTCGAATATTTCATAAACTATGCACTTTAGAAAGAAATGTTTCAGACAAAAGTTGTATGGCTTGAAGAGGGCCATCAGATAATAGCAATGATTTGACCTTGGAGAGTCATTTGAAGGTGACGTAAAGGTTACTTCAATTTCTTAAATGGTACCCTCTATTTTTTATTACATATTCGTGTAGCTTATCTCGAGAGCTTTCCAAAACACTATAATAAAGTATTACTTCATTGAGTACTTTTCGAGTTATGAGGCTTGAAATCATTTCTTAATTTTGTAAATCATAAAATATCTAGTAAAATATTCATTTTTCGATTATCTTACCTTAATACTTTTATGTACAAAATAATGAGAGGAATCAATTAGTGTAAAGAAAACACATAGTTGTTTAAAAAAAAAATATGTAATTGTTGCAAATTACATATTTTTTTTCTTAAAAACAACTGTTTTTTCTATATACTAATTGATTCCTCTCATTATTTTGTACATAAAAGTATTAAGGTAAGATAATCGAAAAATGAATATTTTACAAGATATTTTATGGTTTATGTAAAATTAAGAAATGATTTTAAGCCTCATAATTCGGAAAGTACTTAATGAAAACTAACTTAATTATAGTGTTTTGGAAAGCTCTCGACGTGAGCTACCAGAATATTTAATAAAAAATAGGAAGTTTCATGTAAGAAATTGACGGTGATCTTCACGTGACTTTCAAATGACTCTCCCATGTCAAATCATTGCCACTATCTGATGGTCCCCTTCAAGCCATACAACTTTTGTCTGAAACATTTCTTTCTAAAGTGCATAGTTTATTAAATATTCGATCGGTTCGGGACTTTTGGGACACCCTGTATGTGTATATATATATATATATATATACACATACACACACACACACACATGCGTTCCAGCCAGACTTTGAGATGTTATAGGAAATTTAATCCTGAACAAAAAATTTCTTATAAACAAGGATCAAAAAATGCTTCCTTAAGAAGTCTTATCGCGCAAAAACCTCTGATGAAGGAAGAGCAAAAGGTGTAAAGAAAATGAAACTGAATAAATTTCTTGAAAAAAACGATAAAAATAAAAATCTTTTTCTTTTATGAAAATAAAATAATTTTTTTTTAACTAACTTTTATTTTATTTTCATAAAAGAAAAAGATTTTTATTTTTTATTTTTATCGTTTTTTTTAAAGAAATTTATTTAGTTTTTCTTTTCACCTTTTGCTCTTCCTTCATCAGAGGTTTTTGAGCGATAACTTCTTAAGGAAGCATTTTTCGACCCATGTTTATAGGAAATTTTTTGTTCAGAATTAAATTTTCTATAAGATCTTAAAGTCTGGCTGGAATGTTCGAGGCCATCCTGTATATAGAAAGAACTTATTAATTCTTTACGAAGATAAACAATTAAATAAATCATTTCAGCAGCTCTCTGAAAAATTCTAGAGTTTCAAATAATTGTCTATCAGTTTGTCTATATAAAATTTATCTGTATGTATAATAGTCTATTTTCATAAAAAGAAACTTTATACATTAGAATATTAATATAACATTATTTCAAGGATACTTGGTTTGCACTGATCTTCATTAACAATTACTATATCTGTAAAGTTCTTGGCAACAGCGCTTTTCACCATCTTCTTAACACCGGAACGATTTCTATATAGCGAGAGGGAGTTAGGTATTATCCTTGTGAGCTCTCTGCCAAAAATTCTCGTTTTTCTGTTAGGATTGTCTGCGTATGTAATGAGAACCTTGGGCTCATAATCCTGTCTGTAGTAGGCAGCAAATTCGTCATGCTCACATTCAACTTTAAGTTCCTGATTCGTTTCATCATTCAAATCATTGGATACAATCATAGTCTCATCTTTCTCTCGCAAGCTCTCTATAGTGTGCGGTACTTGTTTTGGAGCACCTTCTTGTATCCTTGCCTTTTTGGCCGCTTTTTTCGCCTTCATTTTCTCCTTCATCAGTTGCTGGCATTTTTTATATCTTACAGCTTTGCATTTAATATCATTAAAATTATTATGGGAAGGTAGCAGAACCTCTGACGTTTTACTTGCCGAGGTGCTCTGTTCATCTTGGCCCTTATTATTCGTCTCATCAACATCTTCTTTAGGTCGACTTAGAGGATTTCTTCGTAAATTATTTTTTACCTTCATAGTATCTTTTTAATAAAATTGTAGCACTTTTATTCACTTTCAAACTGTTTTCCCTTATTTCCTTCGAAGACCTCGTGCAGATTCAGTAATTCCAAGCGTAGATTTTTCTGACGCATGCGCACTAGTGAATTTAGGCTGCATTTCAATATTCACTGCCAGTACTGAAAATCTATAGTTTACGTGATGTATGTACACTATAGATTTTCAGTACTGGCAATGAATATTGGAACACAGTGTTTTTTAAGGCCGGGTCTACAATAGATAAGTTAAGTCTTAAGCCTTAGGCCCGTTCTACAATGAGTCGTAAGTCGTAAGTCGTAGACTAATTGATCAATTATTTCAAAAATAATCAACCATGATTGGACAATTTGCCTATGACTTACGATTCATTGTAGAATGGGCCTTAAGAAATTGACCAATCACAGTCGAGTATTCTCTCCATACTCGATTGTGATTGGTCAATTTCTTAGGCCCGTTCCAACAGTGGCCAGTTAGCTTAACTAGTAGTTAAGTAATGATGCCAACCACTGAAACAAAATTCGGTAAGCTAGGTTAGATTTTGACAGGGGTTGCATTTTCGCAAAATATATAAGTGAAATATTGAAAATTTATAAATTTTGTAAGTAAATGTATATTTTCAATATTTCACTTATGTATATTTTGCAAAAATGCAACTTGTGTATATTTATGCAACTTGTGTACACTTATGTATATTTTGCAAAAATGCAACCGGGCCTTAGGCCCAGTTCCACAATCCAGTTTAAGTAGTGAATGGACCAATCAGGTCCCAGTTTAACGTATTAAACTCGGATTAACTCGAATTGTGGAACCGGGGCTTAATCGGATCTTTGATCGGACTGACCAGTGGTACTCAGCGATAGACTTCCTAAATTTCCCTAGACTAATCCGGATCAATGATGTGTCTCTGAAGTAATCGAATTAGATTAACAACTTATTCTTATTTTATAGAAAACACCTTATTCCAGTAAAATACATTTGCTTATTAATTTATATTTGATAAATAAAGATATATTAATTAAAAGAATAATAAAGTATCTTCTATAACTTCTTATGATGTTTTTCACAATGGGTGTGTTTCGGGGTCGCATCGCTACAGTAGCGCTACTGTAGCGCTACATAAGCGTGTTTCACGTTATTAAAGCGCCCTCTATCGTTTTCGTGGATACATAAAGGTCATTCTACAATGGCCGTAGCTAGAGAACCTCTAGGAGAGAGAATGGACAACTGATCATGTGACATGTGATCAAGCTTTTTCATGATTGGCTGGCAGAAAATGTATCAATTTTAGCTATTGCGACGCCAATGCAAAATATGATGCCACATAAATAGGTTAATATATGTGTGTCATGTGTGTCCTATTTGTGTGTCATCATATTTTGCATTGGCGTCGCAATAGCTAAAATTGATACATTTTCTGCCAGCCAATCATGAAAAAGCTTGATCAGTTGTCCATTCTCTCTCCTAGAGGTTCTCTAGCCGTAGCATAAGGTTATAAGATTCAAGAAATTGACCAATCATAGTCAAGTATTAAGAGAATACTCGACTGTGATTGGTCAATTTTTTGAGTCTTACGCCTTACAACCTTATACTACGGCCATTGTAGAATGGCCTAAAGCAATATTCTGATTGGTTCTTCAGCTTACGTTTACGTTTTATGTTTATGGTTATGGCAATTCATGTGCGAAAGCCTTTAAAGGCTATAGCACACACTTTCCATAAGACATGACAGTAAGGTTTCGACCAATCGCGTTGCTCAATTTGGCCGTCCGTAACCAAATTGAGCAACGTGATTGGTCGAAACGTTATTGTTATGTCTTATGGAAAGTGTGTGCTATAGCCTTTAAGCTAACTGGCCACTGTTGGACCGGGCCTTAGATTTTATATGCTAAGGAAACAGAAAATTACTAAAAACTTAAGCATAAGAAAAATTTCAACCGGTTGAAATTTTTCTTATGCTTAAGTTTGCTTGTTGTACTCATCTAGCACAATCATCTGGCACAAGAGAAAAAAAATTAAAAATATAAAATTTTTTTCACTCCCACTACTTTTTATTAAATATTTAATCAAACTTTATAATTACCTATATTTTTTTATCTGTTTATCCTTTCTAATTATGAGGACCATATAACACAGTTGATAGAAATTCAATTAATGCTATAAAAAATTATTTATGTAGTATTATTGTTTTTAACTTTACACATTTTTTTAGCTAAATGGAATAAGATAACAAAGTTTGCTTAACGGCACAATACGGCACAAACTTATGCCAATTTATTAAAAAAAATTAAACTCGACTGGGACAAAGTGCAGGGCTAGTAATTTTTTTTTTCTCGAATATAGTTCAAGTTATTGAGCTGCGGTTTGCGGCACAAATTAGCACAAACATAGCACAATACAGCACAATCAATAAAACTTCAAAATTCAAAAAGTGCGGGGCGCCGCAAATTTCGTTTTTTTCAATTTTCCAAAACAATGGTTAAAATTATTAAACTACGGTTTGCGGCACAAATCAGCACAAACGTAGCACAATGCAGTACAATTAACAAAAATATAAAATTCAAAAAGTGCTGGGCTAACTTCACACAGGTACACGTCTAACCGCGTGCTTATGCCAGATCTTTTGAATATTTTAATTAGTCTGTTCAATTTATTGCGTTCTCTCTCTATCTTCTTACGTGTTTCGATCCAATCTTTATCACATTCAATCAAACACCTGTATATATATTTGACTCAGAAAGCTATAATATATATCTAAAAAAGCGAGAACGAAAGCGAAAAAGAAAGAAAAATATTACAAAATATTTATTTAACATAAAATATTTGTTGATCTTAATTGCAGTTCTGTCATCAATACATCGAAAGTTTCGATTAACCACGCATATCGTTAATGTCGAGCGCGGCTAATACGTAGAACTAAAATGAAGATACTTTTCTTATATAATATAAATCAAACTCAAGCTATTTATTAAGCTTTTTAAAAACTTAATCGGTTCAGTCGTTATTGAAATCCGATAATTCTATAAGGTCTTAAATATTCGAATATACACACAAATGAGATAATAATAATTTTTCTTCAAGATACTAATAAAATTTTCTTCAAGATCAATTAATAAATATTCTTCAACTAATAAAAATTCTTCTTTAACTAATAAAAATTACAAAAAATTTGGAAATGAAAATAAGGCTTAATAATATTATTCTACCAAGTAGTAATTTTTAATTTGAAAAATATATCTAGTTGTGCATATAGAAACTATTTTAAATTACCACACTTCTTTCTAATTATAATAATTAACAATCATAATCTCTAATGTGTAAACAGTAAAATATTAAACTTTAGCAATTAACTTTAGAAGGACAAAAATTACAAAGTCTTATCTTTATTATAAATTGTAAATTCTAAAGCCATGTAAATATTTATTTGAATATACATTTAAAATATGAGCTCTCTCTCTTTTTCTATTTTTCTTCTTCTCTCTTTCCCTCTCTTTGTCTTCTCTTACATTTAATAATTTAAACATTTTATAAAATAAAGATTCAAACTTATTTTTATTTTTATTTAATCTTTTAAATGTAATTTTACTGGATTAATTTGATTTTTGTAGCAAAGAGCATACATAGAAAAATAAATATGTGTTAAATAAATAAACAATAGAATTTTGTTCAATTAGATTATCACTGCTCATAGTATTTTTCTTTGATAGTGAAAGTGTTCTTTCCATACACATGTATTTCTTTCATTTGGTTTTTTACTATTAATCAAGGCAAGAATTGATTGAGGATTGAGAATGCTGTTTTCCATAGATTTCTCCTACCTGTTAGACTGGTTTATTAGATATTATTAAGGCTAGCTAGGTTTTAGTGGTATTTTGTTGACAGCATGAAGGCTAGCTGGTTTTTATAGTATTTTGTTGATAGCATAAATAATAAACATATTGAGGTTGTGGAAAAATACAAGTTACAATTTATTTATGCGTCAATGCTATATTTTTATATAATTGCATTGACATATATCAGTGACACATATAAATAAATTATAACATGTACTTTTCCATAAACATCGATATGTTTTTTATTTATGCTATCAACAAGATTCTAGCTAGCCTTATTATTACATATATATAAATCGGTCTCTATTCTAAGAGACAGGGGAAATCTATGAAAAACGGAAATATTTCAAATGCATAAATTTTTATCTTGATTAATAGTAGAAAATCAAATATCTCTTAAACAAAACATTTACGGGCACATCTTTAGAAGAAAATTTTTTCTTGAAATCCCCTAAAATTAAATTTTAAATTAGGACATTTAATCCTGAAACACCCTGTATATATAAACATACATATACACATGTAATATAATATAATCCTAAAAAACAAGAGAGAGAGAGAGAGAGAGAGAGAGAGAGAGAGAGAGAGACGAAGAGACGAAGAGAGAAAACTAAAAGTAAGATTTCTGTTGATTAATATTTTCATTTCATATTTATCTTTTTTTAAAATGACTTGAATTTTATTGAAAGATTTGAATTTTAAAAATAATTTTAAAAAATAGGAAAGTGAAAATTATCATTTAATATATAACATCAAAATTATTATTGTGTAGAACGTTATAAAAGTATTACATTTTAAGTCAAAACTTATTTAATTTTTATCTTTTTTTAAACGGAAAAGTTTTAAAATCTTTTATGTGAAACTTGATATTTTAAGATAAATTATGCCTTTACTTTCAAATCGAAAGGACGCATTATGTAAATAGTGTTTACTTATTAGAGTATGATTGGGTGGGGAAAACATAATAAAAGCCATAACATTCCATAACATCTACGGGATGGTAACATTAGTGTATAACCATATTTTCACTTTGCTGTTACAATTTTTCAATAATGTCATTTGTAAGTGTTGTGTTAATTGCATTGGTAGGTATCGTCATAAGTTATTTAATCTTGAATTATTATCATCGACGATCTTCTATTAAAACGGTAAACACGCTGTCTGGACCGAGAGCATTTCCGTTTATTGGAAGTGCTTATTATTTTCTTCGGCGGAGTTCTAATGGTAATAACAAAAAGATAAAAATATTTACCCGAAAATTAATTATCGTTAATATTGTATTAATTTAAAATAATAAAATGTTCATAAATTATTTTATATAATAAATCAAAAACCATATTTTAGAGTTTTTGGATGTTATAATTAAACTGACGGAAAATTATCCGTCTCCATTTAAACTTTGGATGGCCAACAAGTTATTTATTATAATACATGAAGCAGATCAAATGCAGGTAGAAAAATAGTGCCGTATATTTCATGAAAATATAAACTTATATTTATGGGGAAAATATGTTCCAAATAAATAAATATTTCATATTTTTTTATATAATAATTAATATAACAATAATTTATCACTAATCTAAATGATTTCCTATACTATATGAGTAACTTAAATCTCAAGTTATACATGTCCGAGAAATAACAATTTGAAAAATAAAAAAGCTTTTTGTATTTGTTTTTACCATAACTACACATAAGGATAATTAGAAATTTAACTATGTGATCTGATTAACCTTGATAATAGATGAATTCAGTATAGTTATACTGATCGCATTATTTGTATCTCAAATCTGTTAAAACTCGATAATAAGTTTAGATAAAATTGTATAATTTGCCATCTGAACTACTCATACTTAATTGTCAAAATGACACAACAAATATATATCGAAATATTTCACATTACATTATAGGTAATTTTGCAAAACATTGTAGAGAAAAATATAATATATAAATTTATTGAACCAGCATTCGGCAAAGGATTGCTTACAGCATCTGGTAAGATATTTTTTGTATAATAAAATTTAAAATAACTTCTAATTAGGGCTCCTATCCGTTCAATTTTTCTCAGATTTGCTTGAGTTTTTCGAATATCCGAGAATATTTAGGAGGATTTTTTAAAGTACTTCAGATTTTGAGCACTTTTTATCCAAGCATGACTGCACGGAATATTGTCGTTCCAGAACGTCGGTCGGAATCATTGGCAGCAGAAAAAATATTATAATAATTATTCTTATTAAAAATTCTCAACAGTAATGACTATTAATAGTATTAATGATTATATTAATAATTCAAAATATAAAAAATTAAAGATTCAAAATATAAAATATTCTATCATTTTTATCACTTTATCAGCAGTTGTATAATAATTTTGCATTATAAATTATTAGTGTTCGGATTTCAATCTGAAATCTTTTAATCTTAAGATTAATAAAATTATAACATAAAAATTAAAAATAGTAGTTTTTATATTTTATTTGCATTCCAGTTATATAATATTTTTATTTACAATTCGATACCAATATGACAAATTTAAAATTATTAATAATTAAATTTCTAACAACATTTTCTAATATCATTATTTTTTTTATATATTATATATTTTTTTTTTTTATTATATCTTCTTATAATACTTATTTCAGAATTGACGTGGATTAAATATCGAAAAATAATAGCTGCGAATTTTAGTACAATTGCATTACGAAAGACTTTTGATGTATTTGTCGAACAATCTTTAATGTTGACACATGAGTTAGAAAAAATTGGACTAAATAGGAAGAAAATCATTCACAATCATATATCAAAATATGCTATGAATACTGCCTGTGGTAAGATTAAATATTTTTATTCATTTATAAAATGTTTGCATATCTGTTACAGTTAAAATTAAAAAAAAAATAAAAAATTTACAAGAGCTGAAGAAAGAAAACGGATTAACAGTACATAGTATTTATATTATATATCTTCTAAATTAAATAATGTTAAATAAAGGTGATATAAAGATAAAATTGCAAAGAGTAATAAATTGTCATAATTATAATAATTTAACAATAGCAGAATTAGATTTATTTCATTCGAATTGGTTGTGTTGATCATAAGTTTGCGTGTTAATCAAAGTTATAGCATAATGATTCGTATAAAAAATTTATTTTTTCAAGAAAATCTGAAAAAAGTTGCCAAAATACACGACCATGTTCAAAAAATTATTTCCAAGGAATTGTTAGTACAAAACAACATTATTTCATTGTCTACGCAAATCTGTTTTTTGTAGAAAAAATTATGATATAAAAAAATGTACAATTGAGAATAAATATTATTTAAACTTATATATCTTTCTTGCAAAAATAATAATATCAAAAATAATAATGTAAAAATTATAAAAATTTAATAAAATAATACAAAAAGAAATTTTAGGCTATTGTTTACTCATATTATATATACAATATTATATTTCTTATTTAGATTTAATAAAAAAATAATGAAACAAGTACAATCTTATGTAGTTAATTGTCACTTTCAGGAATTTTGTAACGGAACATTTATTTTCTGCTTAAACATTTCCTATCACATTTGTTTAGTAAATATGTAAATTAATATTACTAATAAATTTATAATTAATATCTTAATTAGTTTATTTTTCATGACATTATAAAGGCATACTAACGAACATTAAACCGGAGTCTTTATCCAATGAAATCGATCAATGTCTCGAAGTATTTGAGAGGTAAAATAATTTTAACTCTAATTTCTTATTGTAATGTGTATATGTAAATCATAATAATAAATCTATTTAAAAAATAACTTATAAATTTTTTAACAGATTGCACTTTTGAAAGAATTTCTTTAATTTCATTCAATATATTTCTTTCATTAAATTATATTTCTAGTTAAATATTTATAAATAATATTGTTGATGTATAACTAAGAGAATAATATTTGCTTCTTAGTTATTTTATTCGTAAAATTTAATAATTACGATTAGTTAAATGTGTGCTTATATCATATAAATGCTTATATAATATAAAATATTTTAAAAGAAAAATCTTTTAGCGTGAGAAAAACTTTTAAATCAAGAGTGCGAAATGTATTCTTATATCCTAATTTGATATTCAATCTCACTGCTGTGGGACGAGAGCAGCGAAAGAGCGTAAACTGTTTACATTCTTTTACAAATAAGGTAAGCGCGAATATTAATAACTAATTAATTTAATTATATACATGTATATTAACTACATAATTTATTATTACATAGATAATACAACAGCACACATATGCATTAAATACACAGAATACCAACATTGAATCTGGAACGTCGAATCGTAAGTTTTTATCCATGTTTTATTTGTATGTTTTTATGTTATAGTGCAAGATTCTTAAATTGTAAAAATAACTTTTTTTCCAAAACCTAAAATACTATTGTACAAAGTGTTTGTTTCAATTATTAAAACTATTAAAATGCCTAATTTTGATCATTGCTAAAGATATTTTTCTTTTTCTAAATTTATTTTCAATATTAATTCTCAAAGTGACACATTTAATCCTACTATTATAAAATTTAGATACTAATTTTATAAATTAATAAATTGATAACCAATTTTATATACACATGCAGAAAATTTTACATTTTATTTTTTATATGATACAGATAAAACAATTCTTGACATTCTATTAGAAATGTCTTATAAAGACAAGTACCCGCAAGACATGATACATGATAATCTAATTACGATAATGTTAGAGGTATGTATTAGGGGTCCCTAAAGTATTTTTATATAATTTCTATATAATTATATTGTATATAAATGAAAATAGTTTATTACATTAAATATAAAAAGGCGAGGAAGAATTGGACTAATAAGAATCGAGTCTAACAAAATAAACGTACTTATTTTGTGTTGAAATTCTCTTTAATAATAATGTTTTGGATTTTTGTGAATCATCTTCAGCATGCAAAAATAAATAATATATTGTAATAATACAATTAATATTATTTAACTTTGGCATTCCAACTAATTTTATTATATGGCCTACCAGTAATTTCAAGGCAGTTTTGTGGTACCTTTAGTGAACATTAAAAAATGTTATTCTATCAAATAAAAAATTTTACTATTGTCACTACTGTATCATGAATAATTTCATTATAATCGACTGACAAATAAATATTATAAATAATTTTATTATAAGATGCATATCGCCGTAGCAGCGCGTATAGAATGCAAATGATTAATATAAATAAGAAACAGAAAGAGAATTGAATACAGTGTTGATAACATAAATCGCCTTATATATGTATTTTTTTAATATACAATATGTTCTATTTTTTTCCGGACATTTTAGAGATGTAGTGATCAAAATATAATTTTATCTTATACTGATATGAACAAATTGCGTTCCTTCATTAAATACATAAAAATCTTCTCCTTAAATAATTAAATAAAAATGTGGTGTATATTATATTAACCAATCGGATAGATTATTAAAAACGTGCATCAATAGCATCATAATAATATTAATAAAAGTAGTTTGCGTCCAATTACGAATATAAATTAATCACGAGTTTTAATGAGAAATAACGTTTTTAAATAAGAAATTAATAATATAAATATTTGTTATTTATTAAGCGTCAGAAAAATAGTTTCAATAGACAAACAGATAAAATTCAAATGTTTTGCACTCTATATCCACACATGTTTATTTTTCCCTCCTCTTCGTATGCAATTTAATGGTTTATCTTGGTTTGTTTATATCTAATTCTTTGTCAGCTTGTTATTCACTTCATCTGCTGTAGAAAGGCCCAAAGAAAGAATCGAAACTATTATTAAACTAAAATTATTATTAAAGAAAACTTTTACACAATATAAATGCATTTATTTACTGTGCTCGACTCTTATTAGTTCTATTTCTTTTCGATTTATTATATTCAATATTTTAGAGCTTTTTTTTGTTTTAACTTGTTTATTGTAATCAATAAATGAAATATTTATCTTTTAGGCTTTCGACACAATAGCTGTTACGGTAGATTTTGCAATCTTTATGTTAGCAAATTTTCCAGAGATACAAGTACGTATTTATTAAATTTACACACATTACTCACATTAATTTATTCATAATAAGCAAAATGTGCAAATGATAGCCCGACGAGTAAGCCAGAAAGGATACAGAAATTGATTATAATGTAATTGTAATTTGTACGCGTAACTTCAAAGTTCATGAACATGCATTGTTACATAGAGGAGAGAAGTAGTAGCCAAATTTTATACTCCGATTAATGCCAGCTCTTGGAGAAATCCTTTAATTGTAAAATCCGCATTGGGGATTTCGAATAATTGTCACATCAGTTTTTTATCGCTGAAATGCCGACTAGTAGATAAAAATCGAACGCTTTCTACTCCTCTTCTCCATATAATACAATACATGCCTATGATTTCGAGTATAGATCAAATCAAAGATTTCACGTATAGATCAAATAATTAACGCTTATCTTTATTATCGGACTATTCTCGTACGATTCTTTATGGCAAATATTTTTTTAAACAATAATCGAGAAAACTCTTTTTCAGAATATCTTTTTAAACAATAATCGAGAAAACTCTTTCTCAGTAAATTCAATTATATCTTTTTAAAAAATTCTTTTTCAAAATATCTTTTTAAACAATAATCGAGCAAACTTTTCAAAATATCTTTTTAAACAATAATCGAGAAAACTCTTTTTCAGTAAATTCAATAATATTCACTCAAATTATAACTTGTTTAAAATTTTTTTTAAATATATTATTATATGCATTATGAAGTAATTTCTATTACTGAGGTTAATAGAATCATATATATTAAATTGCTTTGTTCACATTGTAACTTAAATTTAGTTTGTATAAACGTTTTTCTTTTTTAAAGTAACTACGCTTATAACTTATAACACAAGTGAGCAAACAAAAAGTGACGTCATATACTTATTGCAAATTCGTTTAAATAAGAATTTAGTGTTTTAATTAAATTAAAAATTTTAATAAAGCCATAAAATGTCTACATTGACGTTTATCATTATTTTGATATCAAAATACGAATCTGTAAATGTAATTAATAAAATTACATAAGTGAGATTAATCAAATTGTCTCTCTTATAATTTATACATATTAAATATATTTATATTTATACATAATTAAATGTATATCTTATTAATTTCATATAATAGGAAAAAGCATATAAAGAATTATGGGAAATTTATGAGACGCAAACTCCAAAATGTGCCCCAATTAAATACGAAGATTTACAACATATGAATTACTTAGATTGCGTCATTAAAGAAACTATGAGATTATTTCCTGCTGTTCCTTTAATTGGGCGATATCTAACAAAGGATGTAAAAATAGGTTTGTTTTTAAATATAATTATCTTGTTATTTTATGTGTGTGTGTGTGTGTTATTATGCATAATTATTATTATTATATTATATATAACTTAAACGCACAAAATCATAGTTTTTAAAAGATAATTACAAATATATATACAATTTTATTATTAGTAATTATGTGTTTATTTCATTTTTATATATGAAAATAAGAAAAGTAAACATAGAAAAGTAATAATATATATATATATATATATATATATTTTATTATATTGATATTTTTCTCTTTCTGCAATTAAATCATAGAATTTATTTCGATTATGAATTATGAGCAAAATAAAAAAAATCTGAAAAAAGCACATGAGTCTTTTTTGTTAAACTGAAGATAAAAATTATAAAATTAAAAGGAACTGTTATGTTTAAAACAACATTAATATCTTTTAGAAAAACTAAATCTTAAAAACTAAATCTTTTAAAATAAAAAATACTAAATTTTAAATTGATCAAAGCTCTCAATAATTCTCAATAAAAAAGAACTTAAAAGATCATTTTAATTTTTAATATAAAATATTGTTTGTTCAATTTTGTATAAAATTATATACCTGTCTATGAAATGAAAGAACATAAGACGATTTAAATTATATTCCTATTGCTTCATTTATAACTATTCATTATAAGCTATTTATTATTTTTCTAATAATTTATAATTTCTAGTGTTTTCTAACTTTATTATAATAGCATTAAATATAAGCATATATGTTTAGGAGAGTTTATTTTGCCAAAGGACACTGAAATTGTTTTGGCAATACTGGCTCTACACCGAAATGAAAAATATTGGCCCGATCCGTTGATATTTGACCCGGAAAGATTCCTCCCTGAGAAAATAGGAACATCTTATAAGTATTACATGCCATTTAGTTATGGTCCCAGAAATTGTATAGGTAAGCATGAATAAATCACATAAAACGTACATCATAATAAAAAATTTACTTCAATATACCTAACAAGTTTTTTGCAGGTATGAGATATGCAATGATTGCAATGAAAATTCTCTTAGCAATTTTGATAAGAACATTTGTATTCAAAGTCGAGAAAAGTATTCAGATAAATGCAATAAAATTAGATATGGCTATAACACTATGTACTGTTAAACCTATAGAAGTCATTATTGAAAAACGAGAATTACATTAAAATAATATAAGAATATGTTTATTGAAAGACAATTGATATTTTTTGTATAATGTGTTGTTTTTGTATACATAGTGTAGCATAACAAGCGAGGAAAAAATAATCTAAAGATAAGCCACAATTTATACATAATATGATTGAAATTAAATGTAACCCACACAGCACAAAACTCAACAAATACCTTTCAGAGACCTTCGCAAAGTGTTACAAAAAAGATCTCAAAAATGTCTTATATACATCTTAGATACGTGAAAATGTCTGCTATTTTGTTACAAATACGTTTGTGAAAGGTTGCACAAACATTTCCTAGAGATTTTGCAAACGTCTCTGTAATTTTTTGCAAAACATTTTAATTACATTGCATAAAGGTATCTGATAATTGTTACACCCGTAACACCCTCACCCGAAAAAAAAACTACAAAAGAATACGAAAAAACTACTAAGTTACAATAATACATTATTATTGAAAAACTATTATATTATACTAGTAGTTTTTTCGTATTTTTTGTATAAAGTTGTTTTCGGAGGGGGGGGGTGGCATTGTGCAAAATTATTTTTATATGATGAAGAAACAGATTAATATATTTTTTTGTTATTCCTTTCCTTATTTTATTACTTTTTATTTTATAACAAGTATACAAATTTATAATTGCGAAAGACAAAGATAAGATATATTTTAAGATATATTTAGATAAGATATATTAAAGAGATGATTTTATTACATAAAGATCATTAAGTCTAATTGTATATAACAAATATAAAATTACATAAAACATAAGGTGATATATAAAAATATTAAATAATTATTGTTGCACATGAAACATACATAATTTCTAATAAATCAGAGAGAAAATTAAAAGAATATAATTTTATAATAACACAACAAAAGACATTACAAATACAATTTTATAATGAATAATATATTAAGCAGTAAGAATATTAAGGAATATATAAAAATGAGAAAATAAGAAAATAAGAATAAGAATAAGAAAATATTTTGTTTAAATAAAAAAAGAAATAAACGTTGTTGAAGCTGTCTTCAGGTATTAAATGATAATTGAATATCTTCTGGCATTTATATTAAGACAGAGATTTTGTTTTAAGAGCTCTCATCAGATGATATAGTGGATTTCTCTTCATCATCAGTGCATTTAAAAGATTCCTTTTCGAATTTCTTAGACCTTAAAGATAATAAACTTTTAAATATAGTTATTTAAAATTAAATACCTCTTAGTCACTAATATAATAAACACTTACGTAGATCTCGATAATCTGAACTTAGCATTTATTAGCCATCTGCTAATTATTGGTTTTATTGTTATTAAATCTTCATTTGGCCATCGACGTCTTACTGCTCTGTATTTTGTCCATTACTTCTATCAATTGTCAACATACGATTATCTAGCAAATCAATTTTTACCACTAATTGACTCACTTTCTGAAGTATTTTCTGCATTAATTCTAGAACAGAAATAAATTAAATATTTTGTTATGTGTTTGCTAATATACAATATTTTATAATTAGTTAATATAAAATTTTCATCGGTTGATGAATCAAAAGAGGAAATACTACTGTTTTCCTCACGATAAAAAGCCTTGTTCTGTGTTTTTATATTATAATTGACGTCATTAAAGGTTTGATTTGCATTCTCATCCATATTATTAACTTTAAACGATAATTTTTTATCATATTCTTATGCATTATTTGCTTGTCTTAATAATAACATATTTACACTTTTTCTTAACAATTGTTTCTTTAAAAGCGTTGAATCAGATTGCTTCATAATAGAAGAACACTCGTTTTCTTTTTCGCCATCATTATCTTTAGAAGAGTTTTCAGAGAGTAAAATCTTTTTCCTTTTCTCTGGTATTTCACAAATTTCATTGTCAGATAAATTTAAGGAATGTTTATTCCTCTCTTCTACATTCAAATCTTCAAATAATGATATACTAGTGATCGTAAATTTATTGTTTACTGGTGTTTTAACGTTCTTCATTTTTTGTTTTGTAGAAGTGTTACTAACTACAGGTAGGATACATTTCTCAGATAATGTTGACGGTACTTTTGGAAGTGATGGCATATTATATTTCTTCTTTTTATTATACTTGATATTTGCATTGTCTGGAGTACTTAATATTTCATCTTCTGTAAATACAACTTTTGCACGAGAATGTCTACTTTTTAAGTTGATGAAAACATCATCAATGTCAGAACAAGTTTCAGCAGATTTTAGTTTTTTTACTGCGATTTCATAACAATCTGAAATAATTATTCTTGAATAAATTAAAACTTTTAATAAAAAAATAAACATCACATATAAATAAATATATTAACTTACCAGCTGTACTAATAATCCTCGATATGTCAAAGGAACCCCATTCCGATGTAGAAAGTTCCATTTTGTCAATAGCTAGCACTATTTTTTTATCATCCTTATAAGGAGGCCACTTTGTCATTGTTTTATCTTTATTTAACCAATTCTCTGGCATCATTGCTATTGTATTGTCTCCAAATTCAACAATAAAGTACATCATGACAAGGACCAAAACTTTTCTTGCACAAGTGCTGTATAAAAACAAAATCAGAAATAATTCATAGAATTTTATATAATCTATGATAGTTTTATTTTTTTATATTTTCTTTCAAACAATATGTTGCACAATAATAACAGTGTTAATAAATATTATGATACTTGTGTTAAAATTATGATGATGAAAATAAATATAGATATACATAAACATAAACATAAATCTTATCAGTGATACATTATGAATTTGCTAATACATACACGTATGTTATAACAAATAGAATGTAAAATAAAAAATAACTTAAAAATAATTATAATGTGTTAATAAAGATAATAAAAATTAAGATTATAATTTGAAAAAAAATCTATACTAAACTGTAATAAACTTTTCTTAATTTTTAGTATAATATATGTATTTACATCTAATATATAAGAAAATATAATAAATACAGTATAATAAACAATATAATACAGTTAACATATTCCAATAAACATGTATTATGTATGTATTTTGTTTCGTTTTACATCATTTTATGTATCACAATATAATACTATAATGAATCAAATCTGTAATCAAATTTGTAAAATTATTGAAAAGTATGAATAATTGGTATAAGAAAAAAATTATGCATATATGACAGTCTGCATAACTTTGCCTTTATATGTCTATATGACCACATTTTTAAATTGGACATCTCTTCATTATTAGAAACAACATGTATATTAAAATTTTGTGAATGACAAAGTTCCGTATAAAGATTTGACGAATTACACATTATTTCTTTTCCTATTAACTAGCTTTTGTTTTTATATTGTATAAAATTATATATTTGTACACAGGTCCCATTATCTAGCAATACACAGTCATTATTTGTGTTATCAACATCTAAAGAATAGTGTTTTGTTTTCAAAGTAGAAAATTGACGACAAATCTTTTGACTAATTCCATTTAATAATGGTCCATTGCAATGATGTTTTTTTAGTTGAATGTTATTAGTACTTGTTAAATTTTCAATGTCATTGCGACAATTTATATCAATTTCAGTTAGTCTTCTTGCAATTTGTTGCAAAGGCTTGTCACCTTTACGAATCAACTTTTTTATTTTAGATAGATAGTTTTCGAATCTAAATGCGCTGAATTCGTCTAATGGACCAAATGTTTCTACATCATCAGCTAGATGCAACAAGTTATGTACATTGTGCGAAACGTACTTCTTTCCATATATTATTTGAAAGCATTTAACAAAATGTCGTAATAGTTCTTTTGCATACTGAATATTTTCTATCTTAGCAGATAAATTTGGACTAACTAAAATTGTTATGCCTGCATGTAATATCAGAAAATGGGAATAAACATTCTCGTCTATAATACCTTTAAGTACTACAGGTCCTAAATATAATAAGAATTGCCTTAATTCCGTTGCTTTCCACAATTTAAGATAATCCAGACTTCGTGGTTTTCTAGAAAATTCGAATGGGACATGTTTTCTAAAACTAATTAACGCAGTTGAAATTTGTTTCTTTTGAATAATCGATAATTTAAAACAAAATGATTTCGTAGTCCACAATAGAAAAAGTTTTCGAACTATACCTAGACAAATTAAGTGCATATAGTCTAAAGGCACACTTTTTATTAAATCAAAGTCAGGAATATTACATAAAATAGTCTGCCCAATTTGATAATTATTATTATATGCCAAATTTCTGAAATTTTCGTCCGTTCTATGTTCTTCATTTCGATTATAGGGAAACAATTTGTATCATCTGTATATTCTCCTTTTATGACACATTTAGTACAACTATAATAATCATTGTAATATATAACTTTTAAAATATAAGATTTCGCAGGTGCATTGCATATTATAGCTTTTACTCTAATATGGAACAAAGTATTATTTAACATAATACCATTATTTATAAAATATGTTGCTTCATTCACAGTTTGTTGAAGCAAATCATTAGAATTCTTTGGTTTACCTTCACCACAGTAGATACCGATAAGAAAAACTTGTTTTGTAAGAAAATCGGAACATAAGATAGGCCACAAACTTTTTTCACTAAAATGTCTTAAAGGAACACCATCTATGTTAAGCGTCAGATTTACAGTGCGTGTTTCAAATCCTAATTGTAAATATTTTTCAATTATCTTAATAATTGCTTTTTTTAATCCTAAGTAACAATATTGCCCGTTATCCATTGTAGAAATAAGAGTCGTACGAGGTGTTTGTAGTAACGTTCGATTTTTTGGAAAAGGAACTTCTGTATATTTGCACAAAATTTTAAGCAAAGCAGTAACTGTTGCAAGCGGAATTGTAGAAACAAACTCAACTGCCCACATTGAAATTTCGCTAACAAATTCTTGTCGATACTGATCTTCGGAAAAATTATTCAAATCATCGTTCTCTAAACCTCCACAATCTAATGTTATATTTTCATTTTCATCGAAAGATACATCATAATTTATTTTTTCTGCATAATTGAATGATTGTGATAATGACGCTCTTTCGTTTGCTGGAAATATTATTACTGTCAGCGTCGTATTTTTTAAAAATATATAAATATATATGCCTATATAAATATACAATATATAATATACAGTATAATACATGTGTGTGTGTGTGTGTGTGTTTATATTTATGTTTTTATTGTATTTATGTTGTTATTCATAATGTGCTGAGTTTTAAAAATTATACTTATAAAGAATACTCTAGTCACATTTTATATTCCAAAATTTCAAATAGTTCAATAATTATTAACATCATATATTTTATTTAAAAATAAGAGATAAAATTATTATGTGTATAAGTGTAATATAAAACCTATATTTTCACAGCAAAATTATATTAACTATAAATAACATTAAATAAAAGTTGTATATTTAAAATTATTTATAGTTAATATAATTTTACTATGAAAATAGCTTTACATTTAGCTGTATATTGAATTGATTCAGTTTCATTACTGGATTGTGAATTGCATAATTCATTATCATATGTTTCGTCAATATTACATTGATCATAATTAATAGAATTATTATTAGGATTATTTAGCTGTTGTGGCAATTTTGTATGTACTCCTCTTTTCAAAGATAAGCATTCATTGTGAATCAAACGACGAATATATCTTTTAGAATACGAATATTTACGTTTCATATTTGTGTAGAAATACACGGAAATATTTAAATTGAATGAGAACACAATACGATAATAGAACGTATAATTATGTATAATAAAGATATAAAACAGCTTGAGAACAATAACAATCTGAAAACACTAAATAATATATATAACATATAATAATAATAATAATAATAATAATAATAATAATAATAATAATAATATATATATATAACAATTGTGTAATTGTGTGTCATAAAAACAATAATTATTTTATAAAATAAGATTTATCTGATTTCAACGCAAATGATTAACTCTAATGGACATATTATTGTGATATAAAATATATACGAGTATATATAACATAATAAATAAATAATATAAATAATATATACAAAAAATAATATATATTAATATATATATATATGTACATATATATATATATATATATATATATATATATATATATTGTTACGCCCGCGGCGAGGACTTCGATTATTATCGAAGTCGCGCACGGAAAGATCGGCCGCTCGCGAGTCGCGCGAAATAAATAAACACTTTTAAAAGAACTAAAAGCTTTAATTCCCAACACAGGGCAACACAAACGATAACACAAAACGATTCAACACAAAATTAGTGGCTCGATGCAAATTCGCGTCCGCGCAGCCAGACAGCTGGAACCGAACTCAGCTGACAGTCGTTGTTTGTAAATAATCTTCTTGCCGACGAGATCCAGACAACGGCAGGGCCGTGACGACTCGGGCGCGCGCGTAACAATATATATATACATTCTTCGATCAGCAAAATTCGAATTATCTTACAATTAGAAATGTATATGTACAGGGTGTTTTCACAATTAGAAATGTATATGTACAGGGTGTTTTCACAACACACACACATCATTAAATCGGGTTGCCTGTCTGTCCACCGTCAGGGGCATGCTTTATTTGGGCTCACAAAATAAGATCAGAAAGTGCAAGTTCGAAGGGGAATAAGAAAAGGGAAATTGGCTTTTATCACTCTGTAGGGAATAGTTGTGAAATTTCATACACGGTAAGAAACATTTTGTATTTCTGTTAAAATTTTCTCGTGTAAAAATTTTTGTGTTAAATTTTTAACATACTCTTATGTTAATATAACGTATTATCTCTTATATTAATATAACATATTATCATTGCGTTATTTTGACATTTCTGCGTTGAGTTAATATTCACCGTTTCTAAGAGTTAAAACAACACAATTAATATGTAAATGCACGAATTTTTGATGAAATATGTTATATGTTAAAATGAACAGATAAGTTGTGTTATTTTTCTCTTTATAACAGTTTCCATATGTTAAGTCGACATATCTCTTCTGTTATTTATCATAAAAATGTAGGAATAACATTTTCTTTTAATTAAATTTAACATTATAAATATGTTAATTTAACATAAATTTTATTTCCAGATAAAGTTTAAGTGTTACACTTTTGTGTTAATTTTTAAACATATTACTTGTGTTATTTATTTACATATTTACATACTTGCCTTCTGTTAAATTAACATTAAAATTAGAGTGGATAAATTGGGACATGTGAAATATGTTAAATTTAACACAAAATTTTTTACTGTGTAATATAAATAAAATATTTATTTAATAATTTAGATAAAATAACATAAATAATTTAATAAGTATTGTCGGCATCGCGAACGCCGCTCTTTGATTTTTTTTCAAATAGCACAAAGTTTTTAAGAGACACTGATCCTCTCTCCGATGTAATGTTTTGCAGTTTTTATTGCGCTATTCGATAAATTCCTCGATCTTGCCGTCGATGTTTTGTTAGTGTCTGCTTTTTTCACTATTAATAATGTCTAGAGATTCTTAAAAGCCTAAACACTCGTTAAAAAAACTACAGACATCCAATAAAATAATCTCATTTTAAGATGAATGGTTTTTATTTTAAAATAGACCCGTTATATTTGCAATAGTGATTAAGAAAACGTCTTCATATTTTCTAAAACATTTAGTTATATAGCCCGGTCATCTATAATATATTAAAAATAAGCAAACAATTTTATAAAAAATGCATGGTTTTGAAAAATATTAATAAATGTGAAAATTTTTTATCTTAATTCGTTTAATATTTTTAGCTTTTCCCTTCTTCCTTGCGACACTTTTGCCCACCTCGAGAACGCCGATCCCGAGGGGTAGCGTGCAAGTTTGGCGGTTACGGTAGCTGACGGTATTGGGTTATAAAGCGGTATCTCCAAAAAGGCGGTAACTTGTAAATCTCCTGAAAAGAGAGTGAATTTGGGCGCCAGGCGCGGTAATTCCGCGCCACGATATTGGTACAGTAACGGTAATGTCCGGGCTCAGTGTATGGCAGAGGGGCAGGATTCTTGTGAATTTTATAGAGAGAGAGAACGCTAGAGGATAATCGGGAGAGAGAAATAATCGACACTCAATATATTATGTTACACAGATTTAAGTTATATTAAACCATGATAATACAGAGACAAGACCAATATAATAGATAAATTCAGAATATAAGAAAATTCAGGTAGTAGATGAATCAGTACAATAAGTACGTCAATATATCCGGAAGTTCATATAAGAGGCAAATTGATATAATAGATAATTCAAAACATCAGAAAATTCATATAAGAGACAAATTAATATAATAGATAATTCACTATATAAGAAAATTCATATAAGTCTCAGCATCTAAATAATCGGTATCATAAGTTTGAACAACCACGAGATTCAAATCGGTAACGGCTGACGCGAAGGTTAAATATATCAATAACGGAGACGCTCTATTCAGAATAGAAAACCATAAGTCCACACAAAGAGCGATACCGAAATAAATATAACTCAAAAATCATAACAAGAACAGAAAATCACATAAATTATTAGCGGTTCGGTAATTTATAATATCCGCGGACTAACTACGCCAGATTTCCGAACATACATAGAGGCACAGGCCTCGCCAACGAATTTCAGTATAAATTGAATTAATTTTCCCTACAAAATCGACGGTAATTTGCGGTAATCAATGGCGAAGGAAGATTTACGATCAGACTATGGTAACGCGTATACTTTCGGAACACCCTTGGAGGCACGAGCCTCACGCCGAATTTCGATATATCTCGAAGTATCTTTTACACAAATTTTTGACGGTAGCTTAAAATAACGGTATCCGAAAGTAATTACCGATAAAGGAGACTAAAGAAGTATAATTACGATAGATTTTAACAGTAAACGTATCCTGAAAAATCTCGATATAAATCGAATCTAAATTTTCCTTCACGATAATCGGTAACAAGATCTCACAATATTTTCGGCAATTCTTATCGGCAATTCCTCGCGGTAATCTCCAGGATGACAAT